CCCTGCCCCAATCAAGGTACCTCATTTTATTTTCATTTACTTCCCATTACTTATAATATAGGAGGAGGATGAAGAAAAAAAGAATGAAAAAACATGGGAAGATAAGAGAGAATGTTCTTTTTCTTGACTGGATCCTGAGGGGGGGGGGGCAAAACTGAAGCTGCGCACAGGGCCCCACTAACTCTAAATCCGCCACTGCTGCAATGGATTACACTAATTACAATGGGTAGCATGGATGCACTGAACCATTTGAGGAACAAATGGCTCCATTATTTGCTTACTGCTTAACTCTGAAATAAGTGCAGACTTCTAGTGCACCAGTTCCCAAAATTGGGGTCCACAGAAAACTGGCTCATTACATGGTGTTGGGTCCTCTTTTTTCCCTCCAGCAGCATCTACAGGTGTCCAGGACTTCTATTGCAAAGAAGAACCTGGAGGCTTTTATAAGCAGCCAGAAAGAAGGCGGTGTCAGCATAGCTGCCTTTATTAGAAGCTGCTACTACATAAGAAGTAGAGAGTAAAGAGGTAGGATAGTGAATGAGAAATTTGGTGATCTCTGAGGCAATCTCACAATTGTAATGTGGTCCATGCAATGGAGGAGTTTGCGAATCTCGTTCTAGTGCAGACCAACCCTTAAAATGTGCAGGAACCAGCACCTTGTCATCCACTTGCTGCTCAAAATATGGTATAGAATCTATACCATAGAATCCAGAACCTATCTGTTTGCTGTCTTCTGTTTATGGGTAGATAAGCTATATAGTTCATAGCACTCAGAACCTAATCTCCACTTAGATAAAACTCCCATTCATTTGGATTCACTCCCTTGCTACCTCACTTCTTTTGATTCTCAGCAAGAGGCCATGAGGGGCTCTCTCTTGCTTTCATTTTGTACCTTTTCACTGGAACATCTAGAAATCACTTGGCTTCTTCCCTCACGTAGTTTTACTTATCACACTCATCACAATCCAAAAACACAATCACCCAGTGCTTAATTTCTAATGACAGAGGTGCTGGGGCCAGTGGTGGATTAGCCACTGGGCCGACGGGGCTCATGCCCAGGGGCCCCGGCTAACTGGTGGGCACCTGAAGGGGCCCAGAAAAAATCCACCACCAGGCGGTGGAAGCCCGGAGCCCCGTCCGCCTGGCAGGCGGAGCAGGGGAAGTCCCCACACCCCAATCCCATTCTGCAGCAGCAACGCCAGGCAGGTGGGCAGGGCGAGGGAAGCCCCTCCCAGTGCCCCCAACCCCACTCACTGGCAGAAGCCGTGGGATGGGGGAAGCCCCCCCCAATGGCCCCTACTCTGTCCCCATCCCTGTCTGAACCCGCAGAATGGGGGAAACCCCCCTGAACTCATGTCACCCGACCCCAACCTTGGCAGAAGTCGCCGGGTGGGGGAAGCCCCAGCACCCCCCCCCAACCCTGTCCCTGGCAGAAGCTGCAGGGCAGTAGGGGAAGCCCCCAGTGCCTGACTTCACTCTCTGGCAAAAGCACCGGGGGGGCAGGAGAAGCCCCAGCGCCCCAACCCTGGTCCCCCGCAGAAGAGCAGGGAGTGGCGGGGGAAGCCCCAACACCTGAACCCCTGCTGTGGCCCTGGGACTGGAGGAGCTCTCACTGCCTGCTGCAGTCCAGGGCCAAGGCCACAGTGTAGCCACAGTGTGTGTGTGCTAGGCAGAAAGTAGCAAATGGGTTGCAGAGCCGCAGTGGGGGGCAAAATGTGGGGACTCTGGTAGAAGTGGGGTGCCTCAGGGAAGGGGCAGAAAGGGGTGGAGCTGTGGGTAGGGCCGCAGGCAGAAGGGGTGGAATGGGGGAGGGACCACAGGTGGAAGGGATGGAGAGGGGCCCCCCACTTGCTCTGGCCCAGGGCCCCAGGAAACCTTAATCTGCCTCTGGCCTGGGCTCAAGCAATTTTTTAACTCTCATAACTGATGCAGCAAGCCCAGAGGTATTGGGGTTATGAACTGCAAAGCCTAGAGGTGCCGGGGCTCAGCCCTGGCAAGCCCTGGCGCAAATTAAGCACTACAATTACCTCAGTCCATACCTCTCTGTCACTCCAGACTAACAGAGCAGCTATGGTTTTAGAATAAGATCACATAATTTCTATTTCCAATGTGCTATTCTTGACCATTTTTTACCCACTGTGCTCCAGTCAAATCAAGCACCCTTTTACTGGGACTCATTTTATTTCTTCCTCGCTCCATTGCTGCCTTACTTCAGAGATCAAGATAGGGTAAGTGTCTACATTGTGGTCTTTGGTCTGTGATATAGGAATATTAGATGTAACATTTTGTAATTTTTTCACTGTTTCTCATTCCTTGGTGTCAGGGTGAGTATGACTAGCTCATAAGTTAATATTGCCCGGTATCTACATCCGCTGCTGAAAAAACATCTAACTCTGGGACATGAGACAGAATGTTCCTCCCTCTTCATTAATTGCCTAATTTGTTTGATATTGTCTCTCTCTCTTTAAATGTAGATATTTACTAAGCACCAGTCACAGCTGTACTACTGCAGGTGCTTGAAAGCAACTCCATTACCTGTTTCAGTTGCATTTATTTTTACCATTTCCTTTTTAACACCCACACCCCCAACACACATTAAAAAAACTGTGTTAAAAGAACATTATTAAAGATACAAAATCAACCATTCAAAAAATTAGGGAATATCAGATTTACAGCTGCCCATGCAACCTTAATTCAGCCCCTTTGTGTGTTCATTATGATAATCTTTAATTACTTGATCCCATACTGTTTTTTCCCATGGAACCCCTGACTTTTTCACTCTATAGGATGGATTTACAAGGGGGCAGAATTAAGAACTCTTGACTATGAAACCTAAATAATCTTCTTTTAACATAGTTGTTTGTGTGCAATTATTTATTCTTTTGAGAAAAGTATTATTTTCGTTGGGGTGGTTTTGACTGGGCAGTTTTTTATATATTTGGGTTTTAATTTTTGTTTGAACATTTTAATTATTGTAAAGTGCCTTGTGTAAAAAGCATATTGTGGGCCCTGCTAGAGAGCCTGTGTGCATCTGCAGCAGTGTATGGAGGCTGTAAAAGGCTAGAGAATTCCTCCAGGGAGACACTGTGTACTGCTGCAACATGCCCTGCAGTGTTCTCTGGCCAGCTATGAGCCCTGGCATAGGTACAGGTGGTCCTTCCATTCTGTCATGCTTTATTAAATATTACAGAGATTAAAATCTCCATGAAACTATCCTATGGATATTGCAATGTCCAAAGAAAGGAGAATTTATGTTCTGAGGAGATAAGTCTGATTGTAACCCCTGCCACCGCTGACGCAGATTGCAAAGGTGCGAGTGAATGTCATTTGTAGGTATCTGGAGAGTTCTTGCTCTTGGCAACAGAATGACTCCTCATGTTATTCCCTGGCCCTCCTGTGCTTGCCAGTACAGAGATCCTTTCCTTAACCATCCTCTGTCCTCAGGATCCCTAGATGTTCTAGTACTTCCATGCTTTGAAATGTTCCTGGGTACACCCACTAGATGAAGCAGAGTTTCCCTCTGCATCTCCCCGACCCCACCCCCCACCCCACTGTGCACTACATGGATGACAAAGTATTTTCTGACATGCAGTGGAAAGTGGGGATAGCACATCTTTTTCCCACCACTCCTGAGACAGGGTCGTGGGTGGAAGACCTTGCCTCTTCACCTGTTCCCCATTCTTGGGAGGGTGATGGGGAGGCCGCCTTTTCACCTCTTGATCCAGGAAAAAAATGCTTTAGAGCAAGGAGTAAGGAGGACCCAATCTTGCTCAAGGACAGCAACACATAAACAAGATGTGTGCATCACCAATGCTTTCCCCCTTCCCACTGCCAAACCCTACCCCTACAAACCCCAGCTGCCCTCTGTCTGACAGACCCCTGAAACACACCATTGGCAAGCCACTCAATCCTGGGAAGGCGTTTTACAATTGGTTGGATCATGGCATGTCACTGGAGGTAGTTCAGTTTTAAAAACAAACAAGAAACAGATAGTGGCCCAAATTCTGCACTCATATGTGGAAGTTCAATAGAATCTGCCTGTATATGTCCAAGAGCAGATTTTGGTCCACTTATTCAAAACAAATTAATGTGTAAAAATTGCAGCACTTTGTTTAGTTACTGAGACTGCCTTACACATTGGCAGAATTGTATCGGAAGCACTACACGTGTTTAAGGGGAATGTAACTTACACATCACCTCTAAATTTGGCCCTGTGATTAATCTAAGTTGGCATAACATACACAGTGAGGGGACTGGACTCAGTCCAGACTTCTTGGGTTTGCTTAGACTTGCCTCTGAATTTGGTCCTCAAACGCCCCCCGTTCACCTTCTTGATACCTGGCCTTTCAATCTGGCAAGGCAGGGTGTGCAGAGGTTGTATTATCTTTTAATGATAACATATTAATTGTAATATCTTTGCAGAAGTGAGAAGAGTTATGTTTGTAGCAAAGTGGGTTGTGCATGTTTACAGCCCTTATGTGCAGGGTATATGTGTGTACTTGGGGTCTGTATCCAAAAGAAGGAAAGCATTAAGGGGTAGGAAATCTTTAGTTTTTGTTAGGAAAATGAATGTGAGTGCATTAGGAAATGTCAAGAATGGTATCAGAATCTTAACTGAGAATTTAATTACTTTTTATGTGCTTTGTAATTGCAAAGATAATTGATCAATTCTATGTTTTATGCTGTAGGAGTACATATTACAATCCCTTTGTCGGCTGAGATCATTAGAGAAGGAAGTCTTACATTCTTATCTGTTGCTTCATTCCCCATTGATGACTGAATAATTTTATTAAACTAAAAACCTTTCTTCTCTATTACAGTAAACATGCTTTGTATAATGAAGAAGGAAAATGAAGAATGGTTAAATTTTAAATAACTTTATGGATTCATTTACCTAAAGATAATGTACATGTTTCTATGATTAACTAATAGCAAATAGTGTATCAATTTCCTTGTATGCAGGTGTAATGAATGATTAACAATACTTTTTCCCACCACAGAAGGCCTGCCATTGGGAATGAAAAGTCTAATCCTTCTAAGAGACATAGGGACCGTCTGAATGCTGAATTAGATCATCTGGCCAGCCTCCTGCCTTTCCCACCTGACATAATATCTAAGTTGGACAAACTTTCTGTCTTGCGCCTTACTGTCAGCTATCTCCGAGTCAAAAGCTTCTTTCAGGGTAAGTCTCTTAAATATATCAAACACTTCAGTGAGGTTAAAGTGATACTGTTAACTTAAACATATTTTTCCACTTGTTTGCTTTGTGCATAGGAAGGACACCACTTTGAGTATAATCAGTTTCCTCTGTTACAGGTTTTTCAAACAATGATGGGATAAAAACGTATTTTAGAAAATAGGAAAATGCAATTGTAAAACCACAAAAAATTGGCAGGGAGACTCAGGGGCACATGCAATATCTGAAACTACTTTCAACTCATTTTTTGAAATTGACTAGATTTCAAGGTGATAGTATCCTTTTAAGTATGTTGTACAAGTTAAGCAACAGCTATATGGTGACATTATCTGCATTTACTGTATGCCTATCAGGAAATAGACCTGGATGAGGGGCCAAAAGGATCACTTTCTTTCAGGAGAAGTGAAATCTGAAATCTCAAATGTTGACTAAAGCCATAATGGGCAGCACTTTGTTTTTATAGTTGTCTGGCACACCGTATAATCAAAGCCAAATGTGTACGTGTGGATGTCCATAATAAGAATTCTTCCAAATTTGCAGACAGTTCTAGTTTCTTCTGTTCATGAAGTGTTTGGGTATTTCACCATCAGAAAATATTACATACAGAAGTTGGAATATAACAATGTTGGCCTGCCAAGAAATGTTACTCTTAAAACCCAAGGAAATAAAGCATGTGCCTCTGTTGCCTGCTATTCATCAAATTATCTTCTACTGCTTATAGTAAGCCAATAATGCAGAAACTAAAAAGTGAACATCAGTGAGTACTGGAATAATCATTTTTAACTGAATCTTTGAGTTCCCCACTACATGCCAATAGACAATTTCACCCTCATTTCTTTCTATTCCTAGCTGTTTTTAATTTTATATCCTGGCAGATCTCTTTCTGGGAATCTAAGGTGCCTGAGAAATACCAAGTTAATACTTCTTCTATTGAAATCATGGCTGATTGTGTCAGGCAGCTTATGGTCATGAAAGATATAATGGCCCAGATCATCACTCCTAGAGTTTGCACATGAATCCCCCACTCCAACCGTGACATGTGAAAGGCAAGTCTTTGGCATCTTCTCTTAGGGTACGTCTACACTTACCTCCGGGTCTGACGGCATGTCTAGACGCGATAAATCGATCCCGGATCGATCCCGGAAGTGCTCGCCGTCAACGCTGGTACTCCAGCTCAGCGAGAGGAGTACGCGGCATCGACGAGGGAGCCTTCCTGCTGAGTCTGGACCCGCGGTAAGTTCGGACTAAGGTACTTCGAATTCAGCTACGTTATTAACGTAGCTGAATTTGCGTACCTTAGTCCGAAGTGGGGGGGTAGTGTGGACCAGGCCATAGCAGAGTCTCCTCTGTGGGATCATGGGGACATGGTGGAGACTGGGTGGGCCAGGAAAAGGAGCAGGTGGACTAAGTGTAGGGATAAGTGGATGCACACCTTTTCCCCCTCCCTCCCTGCAGAGAAACCTCAGAAGATATTATGGCACCAGGCCATCTTACATTTTCCACAGAGCCTCCTCCACAGGTGTTCCAGAACAGGAAGGTAGAGGTTCCAGAGCCAATCCAGCCATACGGGACCTCTGCATGGCTCTGCCAGGTTTGAGGGCAAGGCAAACCCCACACCTTCAATGGTATGATGCGGAGAGATCTCCAGGAGGGAATCCTTGTGCAGATTTGCTCTCCCACAACCCCTTCTGGCAGGTTTTCAGCACAAGGGGATGATCTGGGCCATTATTTTGTCCCTGGTGGTTGGAAAACCAGGAGAGATCATTTAGATAAAAGCAGTTTTGGAAATCAGGAAGGGAAATAGCACTCCTTAACAGGGTTTAATTGCTTTGTGTCTGCTTGTTGCCAGATCTGCAAAGTCAGGATTTCCCAGACCTGGGAGTTAATATCGATAGCACCACTATTATTCACCAGAGATCTCCTTTGAGACTCTATATTAAGTATTCTATGCATAAGCAGATGTTGACAAAACTCTTTTGGGAAGCTTTGGCTGGTATAAAGGGAAATTTATTAAATTCAATAGAGAGACTACTTTTTCAGGTCCTGTCTTCAACTGCAAATGCCTATTACCTAAGAAAACTTAGGCACATATCGAGTGAAGGGGAGAGAAGCAGTCTTTCAAGCAACCGGGTCCCTAACCAATTAGGACTTCATGGATTAGCACTAACACCTTGAATTCCATTTCCAAACATGTAGGAATCCAGTGCAGATCCCAAGGCTCTGGTCTAATGTGTTCGATGCATGAAACTCTGCTTAATAATTAGGCTGTAACATGCTATAAAACATCAGTTTCTGGGTGGTCTCAACTTGGTATCCCGTGCAGAATACATTACAGCAGACTAGTCATGAGGTGACAAAGGTTCAGATAACTGTGGTGAGGTCCGCATTGGAGAAATGATCTCACCCATCTCACCTTGCACAGCTGAAGGAAAGTGCCCTTGGCCATGGTGACAATGGGGTATCCAGGATCTAATAAAATTTGTAGGTTGTGCTCATCTGTTATAAATGGTGGCTGAACTCCCTCCATGTGGGGCACTGATAAAATCTGTGCCAGTTCCACCAGATGCTTACCTCAACCCTCCAATATTATCATGGTATTATCCAAATTAAGTTGCAATCCTCTTCCCTGCCCCAAGTTCAATATAGACACTATGTTATTTGTTCTTTTTTTTTCTAGTTGGGTTAGACATGATAGACCTGGATGTCACCTGCAAATTGCATACATGGCAGCCCATGGGGCAGAGGAAAAATTGCCCACAAATATTCTCTAGGTTCCTTCAGAAAGATCAGAATGGACCCATTCCAGCAGTTCCACTGACCCCTTTTAGGGATTGCAGGTGGGTTGACAAACCCTCATGATTAACTGTACCAAAGGCTGGTGACAGATCTAAAAGAATCATGAATGTCACTTTATCTTTGCCCACTGCTAGAACAGCTAATCCTAACGGAGCAGGGACTGCCTTTTTATTACATATTTGTACTGCACCTGGCACAATAGGCTATAATCCTGATGAGGGCCTCAAGGCAAAATCACAATACAAACAACAAAAATAACAATAATTTTCTATCCCATTCCCTAGCATATAACCTGATTGTCTGGGGTCAAGGAAATTTGAGGACTAAAACTTTCCCAAAAAATGAGACTATACTTAGCCAGACTGGCAGTTTGAAGAGCTGTTTGGTTTTCCTACTCAGTGGACTCAATAGCTGAGAACTACTAACATCTTGTCCTCCTTCCCCCATGTGGAAAATACTGACTGTCTTCACTAACACTGGATCCAGTACTTCTCTTGGTGCCTTCAGCAGCCAGGAAGGACAAGGATCCATCTCACAAGTTGGAGCTTGAAGCTGCTACAGCGTCTGCATAATCTCAGTGGACAATACGGATGGAAAATCAAGCAGAACAGTCTCATTGATTGTCCCATTGAGACACTGCTCTGTTTCATGGCAGTAGACAGCTCAGTCCACATCAGAGTGGTTTTCTCTGCAAAATAATGCAACCTTTCTGCCAGGTGGAGCCGGCAGCAATCAGGGCCAGGTTCAATATCTAGGGGTTCCTTTTCAACAATACAACACAGAACTGGCTTGAGCCCCCACCCAGTAACTGGGAAAATTACACACCATCCTTGGGCACCTCTGAGAGGCAAAACTTCCCCTCTCGCAAGCATAGAATCTGTGTGTAGAAAAGAAACTTTTAATGAAAGGAGAGAAGTCACCCGACATTAATTAGGGAAAATGCCGCAAGCAGGATTCATAAACATAAAACTGTGAGCAGGACACCCCCCCAGAGTGCGTGGGGCAGAGTCTTCTGCCTCATGTTCTTGAGTTCTACAACCAAAAGTTCCTTTACTGTGCCCCACTCTGCTTCCTCACTATGTCCTACTCACTGTGGTTGTCCTTGATCAGTGAGGACCCAGGTTTCAGAAGTGTATCTGTGGGAGTTCACCTCCCACCTGGGGAAGAAGACACCTGGCTCGCTCCATCATCTGAGCACTTGTTTTGACTGGCTGCCCTGCCGGCCACTGTTCCTCACCGCCTGGCCTCCCTGCCATCTGCTGTTCCTCGCTGCCTCCCACCAGCTGACTGTTTGCCATTTTCACCAGTCGCTCATGCTGGCCACCTGTCAGTCAACTGCTGCCACCTGCCTCTTTTCTGTGATCTCTGCATGTCAGTCTCTTAGTGATTTTAGCTCTCAGCAGGCTGGGCAGAAACACTTGCCACACCACAAGTGATTTCAGCTCTCAGTGAGTTAACATAACATAACTTAACATAACAAAAAGGTTCCTAATGAAGCCTATTTAGCTCTATCTTTGAACAGTGGGGAGGAACAGGCTAAACCATGCCAGGGACCCTTAGGGAGAGTCCACACCTCCTGGCTGAAACACCTGTCCCCACCCCTCTTACTTTCACAGGGGTCTGGCATTCGGGCCCCTGGCTTAATGAAGTCCTTTCATCTGAGGGTGACCCCCTCATTTGGGACAGGGTAAGTACAATTCTGCTCCCCTTCATTCGTACAATAAAGAAAACATTGATAACAGCATTTCACTACCCCTGTATTCAGTACTAAAATGATCTGTAACCCAACACCAGCCAAATTTGATCACTTTAAGGAACACTGCTCTATCTGCTGGATATCTAAGCAAAGTAGGTATGTTCATGTAAATATAGTTTGCTCCTGAAGTCTCTCCCCCTCCCAGCTAGCTGTCAGGGGAGAGTTTTTGCTTTCAATAACATGCAAATTCATCATACAGAGAAAAACTTGACTCTAGCTGAGTGGAGGCAGCTTGGATTCATGAAGCTTTCCACTACTCAGAATAGTTCTGCCTGTGCAAGACCTTGCAGGTGCTGTGGTGGAAGTGAAGAAACCTCTTTGCCTCTTGTAGAGTCATGGCATCTCTATGTTGCAGTTGGTCAAACTTGGCACAAAACTGATGCCACCAGGGCTCTTGTTATCTCCATTCTCATTTAGTCTGTGAACCATGGTG